AGGCTCTCGAGGGCAACGTAAATGTATTAAATAGATAATAATAGTTCTATGGTGGGCTAAAACAATGTTCACAAACAGCATTGCTTCTGTAAAAAGATCTGTGTCATAAAATAAACTGCTCTTTACGCCTGGAAAAATCAGTTGCCCACCATTCACCAAAACATACGGTCAAAAACGCGGAAATAAACAATAACAGCAATCCAGAGTGTCCGTGTGGCATTAGCATTAATTAAATTAATTGTTAATATAATTCAAATAATAAAATGGAGCTCCAACTGGTATTAAATCTAAAGTTTTTGAGAAATGTTTGCATTGCTTGTTAATTTTTGCTGCATAATTTGATCAAATATGTAAAACATGTCCGTAGCACGTTAAACTGTGGTGCCATTGTATTAATATACAATTATTTGCTCAAAAGTTGCCCTTTTTTTCCAATTTACGTTTGAATATCTACATTTATTCTCATTCTTCTGTTTAATGGAATGCACAAACACAGCAGCGTGCCATCAAAGATGGCGTCTCCGAGGAGGTCATGTGACATGCATTGGTCTGTGGGAACTATGTATTATATATATATTAGTGCTGTCCAACGATTAAAATATTTAATCGCGATTAATCGCATGAATTTCATAGTTAACTCGCGATTAATCGCAAATTAGTCACACATTTGCGTGCTGTGTGCAATTGCTTTTTTTATTGAAAACAATGTGTAGTGTTATATTACACACTAACATTTGATGCAAAATCATCAATAAATGGATGACAAAATAAATAATTGGTAACAAAAAGCCCCTTCAATGTGTGTGTGTGTATGTGTGGGTATAGACCATAGACTGTATAGAAACATCATGGTGTCATTATGATGATGATAAACAATCTGTAAATATTTTGTAAATTTGTTCATGTAAATACTCTATGCTGTTTCTCTGTTTACCTTCGGTATATCTATGACTGTATACTGTTTGCTTGTATTGCCTTTTTTATTAACCCCTCCCCCCATCTCCCACTTCATGTCCCCCCCCCCCCCCCCTCCCCTCCTATGTGCCCTTCTGGGTTTCTTCTTTGGCCCCCTGTATCTCCAACTACATATTGTTTGTAATCTCTGTCTACAATGTATCTGAACTAGTCCTTTTCTTTGTTTCTATTTTTTTTCTGTATGTGTGTTTGTCTGCAATAAAAAGTAAAAAAAAAAAAAAAAAAAAAAAAAAATCTTTTTTTTTTTTTTTTTATTATCGCGCAATAAAAAAAATGACGGCGTTAATATTGATTTGCGTTAACGCGTTAATAACGCGCTATTTTGGACAGCCCTAATATATATATATATATATTTTTTTTTTTTTTTTTTTTTTTTTTTATTAAACATTTACAAACAACAAGGCACAAAACCATTCAAATCTTTTCAAGGCAAATTCGGTTGAGTAGAAAAATAATCTATAAACAGTGTAATATGAAGGCAAGTTGAAAATAAAAAAATAAATAACATATAAAAAAGAAAAATAACTAAAATAGATAAATAAATAAAAGAAATATATATATTATGATTGTTAATCACATTGACTATAATAGTAAAATAAATAATAAAAAAAAAAAAAAAAAATTACCTCAGATTTAAGGGTCAGTTAATTTGTATTGTTTTATTTGATTCAGAAGCTCTATTGCTTTGTTTAATTTCATAACTTTTAAGGATTTGCAATATATATTAAAGTCATTAATAAAACCCCTAAAAGCAGGAGGAGATTTGAAAAATTTGGATTTATGAATATAGTGTTTTGCTAGTATGAGGATTGCGTTGACCAGCAGGTTTTCTAATTTGCTCTCCAAAACCATTCCATATAAAATATCAACATATGACGTTAATTTAACTGATACATTCTTTTTTTCAAACCACTCTTCAATCTGATTCCAAAAAACTGTAACAAATTTACAGTCAAAAAAAATGTGACGAGTGGTTTCTACTTCAATTTTACAAAAGGTACATTCATTACTCTCAAAGTTAAATCTTTGTCGTAAAAATTCACTTGACGGATATATGTTGTTAAGAAGTTTGAAATGAATTTCTTTGGACTTAGGAAGAATAGGATACATCAGATATTCTGTTAGTAATTTCTTGACTTTAAATGGCTCGTATTCTTTAAGATCTTGAATTCGGCTGTATTGTTTCGAATAAAGCTCACTAGTGAGTACTTGTCTAATAAATCTGTTATTACATTTTTTGTCAAAAAAATTTAGATTGTCTATGAAAAAAATTGGTAGCCTAGAGATTGAATTGGAATGAACGACAATCTCTCTAGCCAACAGCAAGAATGGTTTTGGAATTGCATTAATAAGACAGAAAAATTGTTTTGGGTGACAAAAAAAATTCCATTTCATGCTAAAGTCATTATATGAGAGCAGGTTACCATTTAAGTCCATCAAATCAAAAATGCACCAAACATTTTTGTCCATCCAGTCCTTGTAATACATAGATTTGTTCCTGTGAAGAATGTATCTGTTGTTCCAAAGTGAAGTCGTGTGAGGAGTGAAATTATGTTTGTACAACATCTTCCAATAAAAGAGAACCTGCTGGTGAAAACTAGACAACTTAATATTAAGTTTTCTGACCTCAAAATCACATTTTAACAGAAACTGTAACCCACCACAAGATGAAAAAATATTATTGGGGAATATATTCCAAAAGTTTTCTGGATTTTTCAGAAATGATTTTAGCCAATTATTTTTGATTGTTCCACTCATACATTCATAATCGATAGCCTTAAGGCCACCATGTTCATAATCCTGAAGCAAAACCGCTTTTTTTAAGTAGTGCGTTTTGTTGTTCCAAATAAAGTTGAAATTTAGTTGATTTATAGCTTTGACAAATGATGGCTCCAAAGCTAAAGAGTATGTAGGATGAAGGATTCTAGAAATACCATCGACCTTTGTAAGCAAGATGCGACCAAAAATAGTAAGATCCCTTTGTAACCAAAGATTAAAAATATTCTTACATTTTGCAAGTTTTTCTTCAAAATTTTCCTGATGTCTCTCTTTTGGACTTTTAGTTATATTTATTCCTAAATATTTTATGTTTTGTTTGACTTTGATTCCATGTATAGAGTTTATGGGGCACACATTTGAGTGCTAAAAGTTCGCATTTATCCAAATTTAGAAATAGACCTGAAGCTTTGGAGAACACCTCGATTGCTTGTAATGCTGTGGGTATTTGTTTGTCATCTTTCAGAAAAAGAGTGGTATCATCAGCGTATTGACTAATAATGAGTTCCTGACCAAAAACTTCAATTCCTTTCAAAGTCTCAATACTTTTTAGATGGATTGAAAGCAATTCTGCTGCTAAGATAAACAAACCAGGACTGCAAGGACAGCCCTGAATAATACCTTTATTTATATCAAATCGACCTGTTGAACCATAAGATAATGCTACTGAGCTATTTCTATCTTTATAAAATACTTGCATGGTGTTAATAAATTTAGGTCCATAACCAAAGGTTTGTAAAGCTTGTGTTAAGAAAGGGTGCTCTAAGTTATCAAAAGCTTTTTTGAAATCTAAGAAAAGCAGACTATGTATTATATTAACGGTAGTAGTAGACCGGGTATGACGCAGCGCCGGAAGTGACATCTCATCTGACGCAGAACCCGGAAGTGATGCGTGCATATAGCGCTCACGTGTTGCATTTGTGGGCACGGTTCAACAATCTGTGCTCACAGTTTAACAATCTGTGCTCACAGTTTAATAATCTGTGCGCACAGTTTAATAATCTGTGCTCACAGTTTAACAATCTGTGCTCACAGTTTATTTATTTTTTTACCCCTGGCCCTTGCAGGGCTCCGTACACTTCCGCTTTCCAGCCCTATAAAAATAATTCTGACTCTGATAATAATAATGTGTCTTCAACACATTTTTTGTGTCATTCAGCTTCATTCATATATACAATGAAATATAATTACAACGTTGCATTTGTCTTAATTCATGTATTCGTTTATTTCAATATTTACAATACGAAAGCATGTTATGCATAGTCTGTAAATGAGTTTGGGCGTTAATTCCTTAAGCCTAGTTTATACTTGCGCGGCGCGGAGCTTACGGAGGTGACGTGACGTCACTTGCGCAACGCGTTGGTCACCGCAAGGCCCTTACGTCGCCTGCCGCGCAGCATCGAAATTTTCTAACTACGTAAGCGTCGCCGCAAGGAATCTCCGCTGTGATTGGTCCGTGTGTGTGTATTGGAAGGAAGCACGGAGAGGCTGCAGCAGGAACATGGAGGAGGCACTATGGAGCAGAGAGCTTAGTGCTTCGAAGGAAAAGCAGTTTGGGCTCAGAGCCTGATATACAGGAGACAGTGGACTATCTAACATATATATAACATATATATAACTTATAAACTGTGCAGTCGTTTGTTTTGCACTGTTCCTGTCTTGTTTGAATCGTAGCTGCGTTTGTTGCTTTCCTCCTGCACTCGTAAATCGTTCATGTTTGTCTCAGATATTTGCCACTATATGTTTTGCTGTTTGTGCTGAAAACTATTTAATAATAACCATGTTTCCAACGAGAACTGTGTCTTTATTCACAGCATCACAGTTGAAATGACTTATAAAATAATGAATCCATAAAACTATCACATAAACCTACAGTAGAAACACATGTAATGAGCTCAAACAGCTTTGTTTGCTATTGTTGTTCTGAAGAGGACAAAGTAGCAGCGTAAATGGGACCGCTCCTGTGTGATCGCCCTCATGTGGTTTGTTGTGGGATTACAACATTCTCCTAAAAACTCCGTAAGGGGAACGCGCCAGTATAACATCAATTGTGCTTACGTAGGTCCACCGCAACCGCTAACGTAAGCCACGCCGCGCAAGTATACACTAGGCTTAAGTAAACAGCACCCTCTCGTGTTTTTTCTGCGCAACACTCCTCAGGGTTACTAGGCAACTGTGGAACGCTGCCAGAGAGTTGCGACATGCTAGCTGTGATCCTACGGCCTTGATAAATGGTTAAACTCGTCAAAATGGGCGATGACCTGGATCGGCTGCTGGGTGAAATAGAGAGGAGGTTCTGTGGGAGTGTGTCAGTGTCTGGAGACGTAAAGAAAACGGAACAACTAAAAGAAAAGCAGACAAAGTCAAGGTACGGCGATGCCAGACCGAGTTAGCCAGGGTGCTAACATAACAGTGTGGTAGCGGGGCATGTTATATTAGCTAGCTATACAGTATACACATGTCATTATACCAGAGTGGGGCACATGGCGAAGTCACTATTGTCAAAGACAAAATACACTTTTTTTGTATATATATTTTAAAATGATTAACACTATCTGACATTTGCAGACGATGGTTGTTAATTCTAACAGAAACTTAACCTAAATACTTTTATGTTCAGATAACCATTCAACCAAGTTTTTGTTTATCGTCATTTTCAACCCTAAGGGGATTAAGGGGACAGAAAACCCATCCGTCCCCTTAATCAATTTCTGGGTCGATTGGTGGCAGAGTTGCACCCAATTCACAGAGCACCAGCCCCTCACTGATCCACCTGCTGGTGGTGAGTCCACAGGAGGGACGGCTGCTCTGTCAATTAGAGCATAGCCTTGATCTAACAGAAAACCTCCAAAGTGCCAATTTCACGTGTGCCACCCACTCGCCATGTTGTTCATTATAACAACATTTTTTTAAAAACTGTTTAATTGACTTTTGTTTTAGCTCAAGCAAGAGCAAAGGACCAGTGTGCAGCGACAATGAAGATCTCGATGACTTCATAGACAAACTGCTGGAGGAAGACCGTGAGATCTCTCCTACAAAAGTCAGTACAAAGATTGTAGCCTGTTCTTATCACACCATCTTACAAATTGGTTTTAAAGGTTATATATTATTTAATAATTTCCACAACCGGGTCTGCACGCGTGCATGCTCTGTCTCAGTTGCAAGCAAAGAAGATGCATGGGGAAAATTGTCGTATAAATCCGCGTTCCTTCACCTGCGAGCGAGACACGATAGCGCGTTACGAGCTGACAGTTCATAACAAACAACACTGCTATTAAATTGGATTGCTCAGTTCAAGAGTTAAAACAATCTGGAGCTTCAGTGAACTCTGTATGCGGGGTCTCACTGTTCATTTAGCTGCTATGTACAACGGACTGTGAATTATTCTGACTTTAATCTCTTGACTTTAACGTCAAAGTATTCTGACTTTAATCTCATAGTGTCTGGCAAAGAAAACAAATCGGATGAGCCATATTATTTGTTGTACTATCACATGCATGTCATTTTGGCCTCCATCCAGTGAAACCCCGGCTCAAAAAAGATCCATAAGCGTGTGCGCTGAGATGCTTGCGATCTCACTCCTAGCCGGTGGGGAAAGAGAATTACTCAGCACTTTTGTATGCCGCCTTCTTTCCTCTGGAAAACTGCTTTACAGGATGTTTTTTTAAAAGCCCACAAAAGTGGTGGCACATTAGTTTCAATAGCAGAGATGCCAACCCCCGGAGATCCAAGATGGCGCCCTATTCAAATCCAATGGCTTGTGCTCAGGAGTGCATGGGACAGCTATGGGGACCAAAATTGGTGAGCTGCCCCCCATTGGTGGTACAGCTATAAGCTAGTAACACACTATCTAGATATTATACGTTCGTTGATATTTACAGTCTATGTTCACATCTTTATTGTAGCTTTTTCAGACAGAATAATTAAAAAGAAAAGACCACCCTAACTCAGCCAATTAACTCTTCAAATAGTGTCTCCCAAGTATGCAAGTATTTAATAGTTTTTAATAAGATGAAGCCAGGATCTGATTTGTTAACAACATTTTACTTTTACAAAACTCCTTCAGTTCAGGCAAAATACAAAAAAGTAAGACTCATTGAAGTCAGTCCCACTGTCAGGGACAAGCAGAGACCACAGCACATTGTGCGCTCTTCTGAGAAGGTAATTGGCCGCAGCCTTCCCTCGCTGCAGGATCTCTACGTTGCCCGAGCTCCAGGGGGAGCTGGTCGTATCACTGCCAACCCCTCTCACCCTGCACATGGGCTATTCCAACCACTCCCCTCTGACAGAAGACTAGGGTCCATCTGGACCAGAACGTCCCACCATGAGAATAGTTTCCCCTCTGCAGTCAAACTCATGGACACTTGATTGTAAAATTGACTTATCAAGGACCCCTGCCCTTTACAACGGTCACCTTATGCTACTGTCACTTTACTGCACTGTTATGTTATGTATGTTGTGTGTACTTAGTGTGCACTTGTAGTATAGTACTATTTTTACTCTTAAATCCTTTTTTGCACCTTGAGCCAAAGCAAATTTCTAGTTTGTGACTCTCTGTTACTTACAATGACAATAAAATTACTGTCCTGGAAAACAGACGGACGTCTTCACATTAATCTAACTGTCCTTGTCATGAATTCCAGCCGGCTCCAAAGTTACCAGAATAGTCCCCACTCCCAAACAATCTAACTTCACATGCCTAAACAACTATGGGCCTGTAGCGCTCTCCCCCATCCCAGCCAAATTCCTGAAGAAACGTGTCATTAAACACACTAAAGCCATTCTACCATCTCATGAGACTTGTCAGTTTGGATACAGGAAAAAAAAAAACAGGAAACATTGGTCAACAGAGGACGCCAGCATGCTCCACACACTGGGCATAAGAACGCCTATGCAAAACACCTTTCCGGAAATGTCTACACTGGGTTTATATACACTTTATATCAAACTATGCAGTGTTATTGATGCTCTTTATTTGTGTTGCTCTCAGTGACAATGAATCTTGATGTGATGTAATTTGTGCTTTTTAGACTGATAAGAGAAGCTCTTATATTATGTTAATTGCCATTGAAATGTTCCAACCTAACTTATCTCCATTATATTATTTCTCACAAACAATGCATGTGTCCTCTAAACTTATTCTGTATTTGTGTTCCATGAAGCAGGCCGAGCGCTCTCCTAAAGGCGCGGCTGTGAAGACCTATTCTAGTCTAACCGGGGACAGAAAGTAGGTAGTCTTTTGCACGGCCTTGTTTCACACGCGGCCCTGGTTTCATTATGCTGTGGCCCTCTGCAGGTGTGCTCCAGTTTTTATCGGGGGAAGCTCAGCCCAAAGGGGAATCGGGACCAGCACATCCCAGAGGTGAGAAGACGTTGTTACATCTACAGGATTGGTTCTTGACTTGTGGTCACTGGATCATGATCTAGTTGGCCGTCAAATGTTCTTGAAAATAAAGCTCTTGATTTAAGAAAGTGATGTTAATAAATTTACGGAAAAAAAGGAAATAAGGGGTGTCAAATGATTATTTTTTTTTATTATCTAATTATTTGTTAGCTCTTAAATTAAATTAAATTAAATTGACAAATTTGGATAATCGTTTCGGGTTGATTTATCTGGAAACAGTGAGTTCAGTTACTGCACCAAATAAAGTAGATCTCCAGTGCACAGGTTTCCATGATAAACCAGAGTGTTGCGGTCTCCTCAGGTCATGTGACCAGTTGCGGTGCACTTCCTGTGACTTCAGCGTGGTCACCTTTGAAGACAGTGAGTGGGACCCCAGCTGTGACTATCTGTTCTTCAGGTGAAACACACTTCCATGCAGTGGCGGGCCGTGCATTTCCTAACCCAGCGATCTCTAACTTCTTTAGTGCCACCGACCCCTTCTAACAGTTTGTCTTATTGACAAAATGTTATTCCCATTGACTTTTTGGGGCAAAATCCTGGCTCTCCTGGTCCCTGTTTCTGTTTTTCTTGAGAAAGGCGTTCTAACTATCCACCAGAACGATATATTCACTCCTTCAGCCGTAGAGGGTTGAAAAACTAAAACAAGTTGACATGATATACATATTTGACTTTTTGTTTTGATCTGTTTGTCACATTAACGTGTCTACATTAACGTCTCTCTAAATCGTGTATCCAATCAAAAGACATGCAGGCTCTGCTAGCTGACCCCAAGAAAGAAAACTTAACGCTGACTGGTTAATGCCACAAGTTCGTTTTCATTCATTTTGAGCTACTGTGGGCCAGCAATGTAGAGTCTGAAGGACTAGAGGCAGATTTTGGGCAATAGCAACATATGATGCTGAGTAATGATTGGATAAAAACTCTGTTAGACACCAGACCTCCCAAATGTTGACCTGGAGTTGGAAGCTGCGCAACCAATGTAGTTTATGGAATAATAAACATAGAAAAAAAAATTATGAAGAAGAATTCTATATTATATCTATTATAAAACATAGAATTCGTCTTCATATTTTTTTTTTCTATCTTTATATATGAGAATTCTATATTATATCTATTATAAAACGCGACAGTAGCTCAGTTGGTAGAGCATTGGCCTTTGTGCCTGAAGTTTGTGGGTTCGAGCCCACCGTAAGACCTACTTCACGACTCCCACTGATGACTGTTGTCGTTGTCACTTAACCCTACTTTGCCCAAAGCCCCAACTGAAAGATCTCAGCTCCTGTGGACTCACCACCTGCCGGAGGATCAGTGAGGGGCTGGTGCTATGTGTACTGGGTGCAGCTCTGACTGCCACCCCCCCGACCCAGAAATGGATTAAGGAGAGTGGTTGCGAGAAATGGCAAATGTAGTAAAGGTGGTCTGTTTTGTGTTTCTTTCCATTCAGGAACAATGTCCCAGAGCGCTGGAAGCTCCAGAGCATGCTGAACAGCAGACAAGGCTTCAGGTCGTACTGCTGCCAGTGCAGCTGGACCGCGGTGAGGGAACTGAGGGAGCTAAGGGAGCTGAGGGAGCTGCTACAATGGGTGTGTTCTGGCAAACACCTGCTCTGAAGCACACATCTCTGCTCTGTTAATAATGTGAGATATAGCTCTGGTTTGCTGCTCTTGTCCCATTTTGAACCATATTTTTGAATGAGTTATTGTTGTCATTGTATTGTAATAAAGTAAAAGGTTATGTGTAAATTATCTAACAAACTCACTTTGCCAAGCGGTGATTAAGTTGGTTAGAGAGTATGGACATGGGCATACTCATCAAGATGAATCAAGATGAATCTGGAAAGCCAGTAGCTTGGTCATAGTCTTCACAACTGCCCAGTCACTAGAAAACAACTTTTACTTTCTACAATGGAATGTTAGAAGCCTGATAGCGAATGGACAGGAGTTCAAGAGGTTTATCTCCGAATTAGAGGTTAAACCTGAGATTATTTGCATTGTTGAGACATGGCTGAAACCTCATTTGAGCTTTGTCTTAAATGGGTATGTATGTGAGCGTAGAGAAAGAAATTATAGTAGTGGGGGTGGATGCGCGACTTTTATCAAGAAAGGGGTTCCCTATAGAAATGTAGGTAAGGGTGAACGACTGGAATATTTAACTGTTGAGATTTGGTGGGAAAAGAGTAATTTAACAGTAGTAATTTTTTGAAATCCTTGTAAAAGACTTGAGATTGATTGACAGAGACATCGAACAAACCCTTTGCACCCCTCTTCAAATCTCGGACCATTCCATTCCTCAGTCAAACGATAAAAAAACACCCCCTTTTCAAATCACAACTATATCTTCATATAGTATACAAAATCACTAGCACTAATTTGGCCCCATAAATTCACACCCCCATTTGGAATAACTTGGATATTTGTTGAAATAAAAACACTATTAACTTCATCACATGGGTGGAAAAAGGGAATACCCACTTACAACACGTTACTCACCACAATAAATTAGCTTCATTCACCAGCCTGGTCCGGGAGTATGGCATCGAGAGCAAACAATACTTGGAATACCTTCAACTGAAATCATCCTTAACCTCGGCATTAAAAAACACCCCCGTCAATTTAAACCTCCTGCCACTAATCGCAGACATTATCAGAATCAATATACCCAAAAAACACAGAAAGAAAGAAAAGGACCAGCAACGCCAGGGCAGAGTGCCCAAAATAAAATAAAAAGCGCTCTAAGGCGCACAGGTTCGCAAAATTATAATTGAGGCATTGTCAGACATTAAATTACTAGGATTTATTATGTTACAATGTATAATTTAGTTCTCCTGGTTCAGGATGTGTATCCTCCTGTCGCGATGGACTCGGGAGCACAGGTGAACACACAAAGAAACATGGAACAGGGAGAGAAACAGCGGTGGGCCATGATGTGGCCATTCCCCAGCTTTATAGCAAATGCTGAGCGCGCACCATTGACGAGTGACTGTTTAAAGGCCCAGACCCACAGCCGGCCCCCAGCAACGAGGGCGGCCATGACGCCAAAGCGACAGGACAGCATAGCTATATAAAAAGCAGGTATAAAAGCAGGATTCACGGGGCACAATGCCACACCGCGACACTGGAGGAGGAGAAGGCTGGCGCGACCACTGGGGACAGAAGTGCAGAGGTAAACAAAGAGGCGACTCGAGGCTATTTATACTGTCAGTATGCGTGATTTTGAGAAGAGCTTAAGCTTCCAGATGTAAATGGAGTATTTAACAAACTTATTTATTTCTGTCAGGAAAATAATCAGGAAGATTAAAAAGAATACTGGAGAAAGTATCGCAATACAATTGGGAGTCAAACCTCTGTAAATTATGTCTGGAGAGTTGTTAAAAAAATGAGTGGAGTGCGGCAATCTTGGAGCTATCCAGTCCTTAAGAGCGACGATAGTGTGGCTGTGAAAGACGAAAAGAAGTCAACACTAATGGTCGAAACTATAGCCAAAATTCATAGTGGGTTTAACTTGACTGAAGCAGAAAGGAAACAAAGCGACAACACCAGTGTTTATTAGAAGGTATAGAGGATGGTGATGATTGCTTTAATGCTAGATTGTCAATAAACAAACTTAAAAAGGCCATAAATAAGGCTAAGATCACAGCTACAGGGAAAGATCGGGTGAGCTATATGCAATGTAAACCCACCTTGGTAAGGATGGTATGAATATGATGCTTGAGCTGTTTAGCAAGGTGCAAAGACTGGAAGATGGCTGTAATTATCCCTATCATAAAACCAGGTAAAGACCCGACTATGGCTTCAATTTATAGACCAATTGCCTTGTCATCCCGCCTGGGCAAGGTAATGGTGAGGATGATTGTGGAAAGGCTTACTTTTTTTTCTTTTCAAATTGACTTTTTATTGAAAAAGCATATTGTACATTCCAATTCACATTGTATACATTTACAGTAAGCTTGCTCTTTCACATATTTTCATTTTCCAAAAAAAAAAAAAAAAAAAACATCAGTGAACATGGTGGGGAGTACAAATATTGCCGTCACTTGACATTTTACTGAGAATTTTTACATAAAATCTGTATGAATAGGCTTCACATATTCTGTCCATTTAGACCATAGGGTGTAGAAAGCGTCCAGACTCACTTTGATTAGAAAGGAGATTTTTTCCATTTTGTAAATTTCTTTGACAATGTTAATCCAGTCATCGACTGTTGGATCAGGCTTCAGCCAGTTCCTTGTGACTGTTTTCTTACTCGCTGCCAACAAAATGTACAAAAGTTTTCTGTCATAGCTACTAAAACCGTCCAGTTCCATTTTACCTAAATACAAGCAACAAACAATATGGAAATGGTTGGCACCTTCATTGTTACATCTCCAACAAGCATCACCTGTCCCTTGGTACTTCTTCTGAGTTGGTGTAATGAAAAACCTAATGACATTCTTCCAACAGAATTCACGCCAGACATTTGATCCAGTTGTAGCCCATTGTATTTCACATATATGTTCCCACGCCTCTTCTGTGATTGTAAGACCTCCTTCCCTTTCCCATTTTTCTTTCACATAATGTGTGCTCTCCACTTCACACTCAAGAATGCTTTTGTATAATTTAGAAACAATTTTAAATGGGGACATGGATTTTATTATTGTTAAAAATGTATGCAAAAAGCTTTGGATAATTGAACTCATTTAAATATTTTTATTGAAGTAACTCCTTACTTGCAGATATCTAAAGAAGTCATCAGTGCCTAATCCATGTTTTCTCTTTAAATTGTCAAAAGATTGGAGCGCCCCCTTGTGAACAAGGGAGTTATAGTCAGTTATTCCTCTGGAGATCCATAATTTAAATCTTTTGTCAGATTTATTTGGGACAAAGTCTGTGTCATAGGCACACCATCTTAAAATTTTGGAGGCCTGTTCTAAGTGACAAAATGTAACAGTTTCGTTCCATATTCTAATCATAACGTTTAATTGGTGATTTTCCTGAATATTAATGTATTACTCTGTAGTTTAATATCCCCCATTAAAGCTTTCAAAGGTATTCCGTTAATAACTTGTTCTTCTAAATCCTTCCATCCTGCAGTGTAAACCGGAGAGCACATGCACACTAGAGGTCTTAACTGTGCAGCATAAAAATATTTCCGTAAACATGGCAAATTCCTACCACCCTTATTTTTTGGTAACTGTAACGTTTTATATTTGACTCTGGGTTTTTTACCCTTCCAAATATATCTGGATATAATTCTATCCCATTCGTCAAACTGTTTTTGTGGAATATAGAATGGGAGGCATGGGAGTAATAGGTACAGTAAAGTATTTGTGGAAGGACAGTCATTCTAACTGAGTCAATTCTTGAGTGCAAATCAAAAAATGATAATGAGTTCCATCTTTGTAAGTCAGATTGTAATTTAGTATTCAGAGGTCCATAATTAATCTCAATCATTCTGTTAAAATCCTTATGCAAAATTATACCCAGATATTTTATTGACTCGGCTTCCCATTTCCATTTGTAACTATTTTTAATATTCTGTGGAGGGTTGTAATTTAGAGTTAAAACTTGAGTCTTACTAACATTAATTGTGTATCCTGAGAATGTACCATATTCTTCAAGCATTTTGATTGTTAAAGGCAGTGTTTGATTTGGTTGTGTAATTGTCAGAAGTAAATCATCTGCGAACAAGGCAAGCTTTTGCTCCTCTCCCAGGATTGTTACCCCTTTTATATTCTGATTTTCCCTTATTCATTGCGCGAGCGGTTCTATAAGGCAAAAAGAAGAGCGGACATATTGCAGCCTTGTCTTGATCCTCTTTCGAGGGCGATTGACTCCGTGAGGTCCCCGTTGATTTTTATCCTAGCTGTAGGTTTGGAGTATAATCCTGAAATTGTCTCAATTAATGATTGATGAAAGCCAAATTTATTTAGAACTTTGTATAAGAAGGTCCACCTCACGGAGTCAAACGCTTTTTCTGCATCTAAGTTGATTATTAGTGTTTCTTGTTTTTGTTGATTAACCTGTTGCATTATATTTAACACTCTTCTTATACTGTCCTGTGTTTGTCTTTGTTTTGATGAATCCTGTTTGGTCTTTGTGTATTAATATTGGTAAGATCGTCTCCAGTCGCCGTGAAATTATGGATGTGAATAGTTTGTAGTCAATATTTAAAATACTGATAGGTCTGAAGCTACCGCACTCCAATCTATCTTTTCCCTCTTTTGGGATGAGAGAAATGATTGCTTCATTCCATGATGTTGGAGTCATTTTCTTTTCAAGCACCCAGTTGAAGGTCATGAGTAAAACTGGAGTGAGATGACTCTCTATTGTTTTATACCACTCTAGGCTATATCCATCTGCTCCCGCCATTTTGCCTCTTTTTAATTTTGAGATTGCCAAATGAATTTCTTCTGTGGTTACAGCAGCAAGAAGCTTTTTATTATGTTCATCTGTCAATATTGGTAAATTTAATTTTTTCAGGAAGTTATCTATGTCATTCTCATTATTTATGACCAATTGCGAGTAAAGATTTTCATAATATTTTCGGAAACAACGTTGTATTTGTACATGATCAGTCTCTATTTTATTATTTTGTGGGTTCCTAATTTTGTAAATTGTTCTCTCTGCTTGTT